GTAAATTTAACCATCATAAATATTGAGAGGGGGTGTTAGGATGCAATATTTGTTTATGGTTAAGTTTGACGTAAGTAAAAAATAAACGAGTTGTCACAGCGACACTGAAATAACAAGATGGGTTTTATTAAAATAATATTTTAAAGTATCCTTTTATCCAGTTTCCAACTATGGAAGCTAGTTTCTCTGCGGCCTTTTGCTCTACATTCAAAAGATTTGTGTCCTGTGTTTCCGCATCCGTAACATTTAATAATAAAGGCATTGTTAATTTCGTTTTGTGTGTCCGTATCATTATTCAATTTTAATTTTGTTTCCGCATCTAATAGTCTTGTTTTAACTAATTCTAAATTTAGTTGTTTTTCCGTTGCCATGGTTTCTATGGAAGTAATTACGTGTTCGAACTCTTTCGGAAGTGACGATAAAAGATAACAAATTTGGTCTTCCTCATCTACTTTTACGTCTATTGCAGCCAAATCTCCCAATAAAATATCAAACTTCATAAAGTACTGCTGCAATGACTCTGTATTTGTACATTTCAACGTAATTAATTTTCTTTTTAAATGTAATTTGTTATAAATGCTTTTTCGCTCTGAAACTTCTAAAAGTAGGGAAATCATATGCTTTGCTGTTCGTCCTTTTTTTAAAATATCTAGATATTTATCGCTTGTACATTGCGCTATTAACGATTTCGCTTTCGAATCATCTTTGTCAAAATTTACAAATTTGTCACATTTTTCATTATGTAACACGTATTTTATTTGCCTTTCTTCTAAAATCAACATCAATCTTTATTTCCAATTACCAAAATTCGTACCTTCTGTAAGGATCCGCAACGTTGTCGTCGTCATATTAATTTCTCTTCTTTTTTTACTTTTTCCTTTTCGTGGATCGCAACCCAGTTCAATCTATATTTATTGATCTGCTACCATGTTAAATATAGTTGGAAATTGGATAAAAGGATACTTTAAAATATTATTTGAATAAAACCCATCTTGTAATTTCAGTGTCGCTGTGACAACTCGTTTATTTTTCACTTACTTCAAACTTAACCATAAACAAATATCGCATCCTAACATGAACATAGATCATCCACTGAAACTGCTCATACCAGTAACGAACATCCCATCTTAGAGATACTTATGGTTAATGACCCACTCAATAAATTGAATAGGCAAATATCGCTAACAGTTGTAGAAGATGTAAAACGCAGACCCGTAGTAACAAAACCCTTCGATACACACACGCGAATTTCCATACAACAATCCGAAAATAACCTAGAAGAAGACTTATCAAAGCTATCAAAGATTACGTCAACCCAAAAGTCAAAACAGCTATCATGATACACCCACCTCTAGCTGTGTGTTCAATAGGCTAGTTGACTCATGTCGAAATGTATTAAATAAACGTTTATTTCTTAAAGTATTTGGTCTAAGGAACCTAAATATATCGATTTCACTTCAAAAAGGAAAAGATTGCTGTAGAAATTTAATTTTTAAAAAATATTTTTTAGTCTATATTTTTTGAACACTAAAAACGCTGTTTGCCACATCTGCCATGATTGTGACGTCTCTTGTTGTAGTAAACAACTAAATGTCATTCGCGTGTTATTGTGGGTGGATCCTTTAGTCTGAATAAATTTATCTTAAAACACTTTTAACTTTAGAAAAGTTTCCATTTACTGTTTTTTTTGACAAAACTAATTATGGATGCCGGCTTTGTGAAAGCATAAAGCACAAATCTGCAATGAATTGACGCATTGATGGTTGGTGAATTTTTTGCACGACAAGGCATCTAAGTATGTAAGTACAGTGCATTTAGTATTACAATGTAGTAATAAACATAAAACTGATACAACATATGAATAAGTGTAATAAAGTTGCGTAGGTTAATTTCTTTCGGCACTTTAATCCACAACATTCCTGGAGTCTTCAAGGATGTGTTTTTATATTCTCGTACAATACAATAGTGATAATTACTTAATTTTTCGTGGTATTTATTAGAAATCATGTTCTTTTTATTATAAACTCAGATGTTATTTTCTACGTGCTTACGAGTTTTTGTTTACTACAGTTGACATCATAGCATAGACAATCTATAGACTAAAATGGCCGACAGCGTTTTTGTATGTCCATGAAAATTCTATTTTAAAATTAAAGATTTGTAGCTTTCTAGGTCTCAAAAAAATACAATACATTTTTTTTCGGTGTAATAGAACATTTATTAACCATTTAAAACCTTTTTCCAAAAAGGGTCAACTAGCCTATTATCCCAATACTCCAAGATAAATTTTGAAGTTCAGCTATGAATCTTGTTCTTGCCAAAACAGAGTTATAAAATGTCAAAGAATACTTGCGTCAGCAAGATATCATCCGCCTGTACCACAAAGGCAAAACCAACCATCGTGGAATAACTGAAAGTTATTTAGCTCTGTCCCGGAAATATTATTGGCCTAAGATGAAGGACCGGGAAGGACCACATAACTAAATTCATTAACGAATGCACAATATGTGGTCAAGGTAAATATGACCGTAATCCCATCAGACGTACCTCCTGCGACTAAGCCCTTCGAAATTATACACATGGATCTGTCCACAACACATACTGAAAAATACATAACGTTTATTGACGTATTTACTAAATATGGTACCATTGACTATTATGACTGACAACGGAACCGAGTTTACCAACCAACTGTTTTCTGAATTTGTTAGATTATATCAAATAAACCTCCATAGAATACTCGCACATTCCCCTAATGACAATGGCAATGTAGAACGTTTTTATTCTACACTTCTTGAGTATCTTCGCATCCTGAAATTACAGCAAAAAGATGAACCAATCATAAACCTTATGCTTTATGCTATAATAGCTTATAATAGTTCCATACATAGTTTCACTAAATGTCGACCCTTCGATCTACTTACCGGAAATTTTAACCGATTTATTTCAATCGATTTAACACAACATCTGAATATGAAATTATTAATGAGACAGCTCTTGCCGATCGTACAGCTCTTATAAATAATCGCAATAAGAACAGGGAACCTGAAATAGAATACTTATCTTCACAACAAATTTTCATTAAGAACCCTTCTGCCGACCGGCAAAAAACAGCTCCACGTTTTACCCATGATACAGTACTTACACACTTACCCATTCACATATATACGTCAAAGAAATGCGGCCCTATAGCAAAGTCACGATTGAAACAAATTCCTCATTCAGCCAAATTGTTGCAGACTAATCCTGATACTGACCAGCCAAATAACGAGAGCTCAAGAGATCAGACTTGAAAGCCTAGCTGAGGGACCTGGGACTACTACCTTATAAACTTGGAACAGCGAGACTTACTGAATAATATCATGCTTTCCTACAATACGTACGACTAGACGAACTTGAAAATAATATCAACCTAGTACAGACTCAACTACAGACTTACCGTTGTCGACTTCCTAATGAAACCTTCTTGTTGTACGAACTTCAAATAGATTATCTTTCTAGTAAAATAAACAACGCACTAACCCAACGACAATCCTTAGAACCTGAAAAAAATGTTAAAAGAGGACTTATAGACGGTTTAGGATCAGTAGTGAAAAGCATTACAGGAAATTTAGATCATTCAGACGCTATTCGATATAACACACTTATTAAAGAACTACAAAATAACCAAAACAAAATTGTCTCCGAATCCAATAGTCGAACGAGTCTTAATAAAGAATGGATGCTTAAATATCACGCAATCCTTAGCAAAATTGTTGATAATCAAAGTAAGATAAATTCTACTGAGAGTTATTACTAGAAAAGGATGCCTATAAACAAAGTAACTTAATAAACACTGCTGCTGTGGACTCTGGACGATTTTATAAATCTAAACTTAAAATTGGCAACAGTGTTAAACCACCACCATAGATAGTCGATACTGGCAGGGTTCCCTAATGCGCTTATTCCACTTGACTAAATTCAGACGTTCTAAATCATTCAGGAACTAATTCAGACAAGTGAAATAGCATTTAGGAAGTTAGGATCCTAATTTGCAACCTAAATCGGAAGAAGTGTGGCTTCTGACTATCTAAATCATTTAGTATCCTAATTAGAACGCGATTTAGGAAGGTGGAATAGCGTTTAGAATTTTAGATGCTTCAGTCGCACCGCAGGTAGCTTGCTACATATATAGTGATCTGTGACCGCAGGTGTCACTGCGTGAAGACGTGTTGTGTCTACGATTACGAATTACGCAAGTGTCCAATATCGGCGGTAAAAGAAAAAGAAGTTATGACTAACATAATTGAATTGTTTAAACATATGCCGTATCTTTGTAACAAAAACGATAAAAATAACATTAATAATATTAATATTCTTTCATCCACGTTTTTCGTTTTTTACTTTATTTTATTTTTATTGAGCCAACGGCCAGGTCTACGAGAAGACGGATTTTTTGTTGCTTTGACAGGGCTGGAGCAATTATGAAAAAGTCCGACTGAATTCGTGGCGCGCTTGTAGCTGACTGATTCAATAACTAAATTAGTCAAGTGTAATCAGAAGCTTCTAATTAGCCTTCTTTTTAGGATCCTAACTGGGACGTCTGAATTTAGTCAGGTGGAATAAGCGCTTAAACTTAAAACTAAATTTAACATCAGTCACTCATTTTCATTCTGTCTCAAATATAAGTTTAGGTTAAGAGAATCATACCAGAATCGACAGATATTGCTTTAAATAAGATGGGGAACCGATTGTTTGCACGACGACCGAACTTTTCAAATGCTTACTTACAAAGAGAAGAGAGTGTGCGTTAAATTTGAAGACACAAAAATTAAAAAAAATATGATTACTTAAATAATAAAATAGACTCTTAAATAACAAATTAAACCAGATAAAGAATACGTTTTTTAAGAATATAATGATATTTTATAACAATCGTTATTTTTTAACATCCCTACATATAGTCATCTGGCACCACTGTTTGTTGCTGGGTTGCGTTCAACGCTCTAGGTGCAACAAATGTCAAATTTGACATTAACTCTATTATCTCGACAACAACCAAAGAGCAAAATCCCATAAATCCCTTCATTCCTTCTGTCAAATAAAGAGAGCAAAAAGCAAAACAGAAATGTAATTTTATTCGGTAAATAATTGTGCATTTACATGTCGTAATAACAATTTACCTCATATTTCAACATAAAAACAATATAAAGAATAGTAATGGTAAGAGACTTAATTAATATTTTATAGTGAAAATGAACGTATTTTGTGTTCTTAGACTGCATAGTTTCAATTAAATATATTTTATAATTTTGTTAAAATTTAGCAGAACCGAACACATTGAAGCTGACTTACTTTTTTGGTTTGTAGACAGACATGGAAGTACAAGAAGCATTAGCCTCCCTGGACATGTTGATGTCTGAATTTTTTGCTCCAACTACAAGTAACCATAGGAAGAGGGAAATCGAAAGTATGCTTGAAAATTTTTCCAATCGCCAAGATTCTTGGAAACATTGTTTAATGTTCTTGCAAAAATCACAGAATCAATATGTTTTAATGTTTACGTTAACTACTTTGGAGGTAAGTTATTATTTGAAGACTCAGCTCACTGGCACCAGTCCCTTTAATACTTTGCTATCGTAATATTCACATAATCAATAAGGTAAAATTTGATGTGACCCTAAATACACTTTATGATTTCTATTCTCATATAGAATTACAAAAAACACTATAAGAATACAAAATAGTTCAACAAATTTAGATAAAAATGCAGATTCATTCAAGTCAAGAAATAAAACATCTAGCAGTTAAATGCTTAAAAAATAAAAACAAATCAAATTTTCTATTTGTATGTCAAATTTATTTAATTTATACTAAAGTACAAAAAGTAATATGTTTTATTTTCTTTTTTAGAACATAATCAACAGGCAATGGATAAGTTTGTCTGATAATGAAAAGACAGAAATTCGTCTTACTCTGTGGAATGAGTTAATGGCAAAGCATGAAGTAATGCTATATTTTATTAGAAACAAAGTGGCAGCCTTGATGGTCTCTATTGCCCGTTATGACTGGCCCCATCTGTATCCTGATTTCTTTAGTAACATTGTAGAGGTAACATTATTCAATTAATAATGAGAGCTTGAGGACTTTTGCCCCTGATCACAGCCTAAAAAGGCCAAGAATCACAGTGTGGCAAGCGGCAAAAACAAATGTGGAATGAATTATGCCATGTGCTAAGGTCTGGAACAGCATGTGTGTTGGCATTAGGCAGTGGTGCTTTAAGTAGCATAGCAAAATTTTGTATCTTACTGCTCAACAAAATGGATACAGATCATTTGTTTGTGAAATTCTGCATAGGTAGCTATCATAATATCCCCAATAAATATATGCTTCTAAACTTCTTCTCATATAAGAGGAAAAGCGCACAAGCTGTGTTGAATTCTTCAAAACATATGAAAAAGTAATGAACAATGAATACATTTTTCACCTTCTTACGAAATAGCCAAGCCACATATTATACTCTGCGGGGTGAGTTAATGGCAATGCATGAAGTAATACTATACTTTTTTAGGAACAAAGTGGCAGCCTTGATTTTGTCTATTGCCTATTATGACCGTCACGTCACGTTATGGCCACATCTGTATCCTGATTTCTTTGGTAACATGGTAGAGGTAACATTATCCAATTAATAATGAGGCCTCTTGCCCTTGCTCACAGCCTACAGAGCCAAGAATCCCAGTGTGGCAAGCAGCAAAAATAAATGTGGAATGAAGTATGCCATGGGCTAAGGTTAAGAACAGCACATGTGGTGGCACAACAAAATTTTTATTCTTACTGCTCAACAAAACGTATACAGATCATTTATTTGTGAAATTCTACATAGGCTTGCTGTCAAAATATCCCTATCCAAAATATGCTTTTATTCTTTTTCTCATAAAAGAAGAAATGCTTACAAGCTGTTTAAATTCTTAAAACATGTGGGATTTTTTTGTGTCACTTAACCAGAAATGGATCTACTACAGTCCAGGGGGCCAATCGCCTAACTGGATTGCTTTGGAAAACGCTATCGCTTACGATTTCATTTTGTTATTTCTAGCCGCCTGAGGTTTTCAAATGCCTCGCGCTCTTTTTTTTTCTTTTGCATTGGTAATAACAATGTTAAAGAAAATGAGCGTGAGGTATTTGAAAACCTTCGGCGGTTAGAAATAACAAAATGAAATTAGCGTTTTCCAAAGCAATCTGGTTAGGCGATTGGCCCACTGACCCCTGTTAAAAGTTTTTAGAAAATCATATATTTCACCATCCTCACTTGGCCATTTTGTTCCTACAAGAACTATCGTTTAACAGAAAGTAATGAACATGGATACATTTTTCACCTTCTTACAGCCATGTGAATAAAGTGAAATGGTCAAGCCACATATATTGACTATGGTAGAATTTGAATATGGTTGTGAAGTTAGGCCTTATATACTTAAGGCATATACAGTTCCCCTCCATACCACCATGTTGTTGTCATCAATTCATTGGGTGACTGACTGTATAGATTCATCATTGTCAGCCTATTATGTCCCCACTACTGGGGCACAGGCCTTCCATATGGGTAGAATAGGGAGTTAGGGCCATTACCCACAACCTGGTCATAGTGCAGATTTTTGGGTGCTAACAAGTATAGATGCAGCTGAGACCAATGGCTTAATGTGTCTTCCGAAGCACGGAGGAGCTTGAGATATGTAGTATATTTTTGGTCACCCATCCAAAAACCCAATACGAAAGTTGCTTCACTTCAACGACCGCAGCCAAACACGCTATCCAACATCGAGCTCCTCCACTACCTGACCCCTTGGTACATTACCTACATAAATTTTGACGCTTTACCATGTCACAAGCAACACGCTAAACTACACTCCCAGACACCTAAATTGAGCCACCTTGATTTTTTTGGTTTGGTGTACAGTAACTTATAAAAGATGTATGTAGAAGGAAAATGTTTCGATGCAGTTTTGGAGCTGGTATACTCATCATTGATTTAGAGTGCCCCTGTTCTAAATTTAATTTGAACTACAGTTTATTAAAAAAGTCGAGTTATGTTGAAACAAGTCCATTATATTTGCTTTTTTCAAGGAAAAAAATCTAATCGATTTTTAAATAAAGACATGTTTTACATGAAAAGAAATGTTTATTAAGTAACTTGTATTGCCTCCCAGTGCATTTATGACAGCTCTCATACGGTTGGGCATAGAATTAATCAATGTCGTTATGACACCTTGAGGAATGTCCTCCCATTCTTCCAAAATTACATTTTTGAGCTCCTGCATGGTTTGCGGGGCAGGATGATAAGCTCGAACACGCCTCTTCAGCTCATCCCATAGATGCTCTATAGGATTCATATCAGGACTTCGCGCTGGCCATCTCATAACAGTGATACCAATGTCATTTAAGTACTCCCTGATGATTCCCGCAGTATGGGCCCTTGCATTATCATGCATTAAAACGAAATCTTGGCCAATAAATCCAGCATATGGCATCACATGGTTCTCTAAACATGGGCGAATGTATCTATTGTCATCTAGGGGCGGCAGTCGTGGTCCTGTCACTACCTCTAGCTCAGTTTTGCCTTCAATAGAGATTCCTCCCCACACTGTCCATGATCCTCCACCATAACTCACTTTCTCGTCAATACAGCATTGCGCGAAACGCTCATTCTGTCTTCGGTACACCTTACTCCTTCCGTCATTACCGTATAGCATTATCTTGGACTCATCTGTGAAGAGAATCTGGCTCCATTGATGTCGAGTCCAATTTAGATGTTCGCGCGCAAACTCTAGACGGGCTATTCGGTATGCTCGTGTCAATTTGGGTCTATTGGCTGGCTTATGGGGCCTTTAAACCACGTTCATTGAGTCGCCTTCTAGCGGTCCGAGCATTTACAGCCACTCCGTGAAAGTCCCTGAGCTGTTCTTGTATCTGAACAGAGTTAAGGCGTCAATTTCGTAAGCTAGTAGTGACAATGAATTGATCTTGTCTCGCCGTTGTAACTCGGTAACGAGGTCCTCCTGTTCGCCGAACGAAGCCGCCAGTCTCCAGGTATCGGTGGTACACTCTTTGAACAGCGGAACGACTTATGTGAAGTTGTGAACTCACATCTCGCTGACTTAGCCCAGATTGAAGAAGTGCTACAGCTTGCGCGGCTACTTCAGGTGAAGTATCCATAATTTTATAGCCAAAAACGGTTCAAATTATAGAAAAATAACTAAACTTTGGTTTACAACAATTGCGAAAATTCAAACCAAATCGACATGCTTCAAAAGCAACTTTCAACAGTCATTATTTTTTTCAAATCAGTGACCAAGCTCGGCTTTTGTTCTTTATTTTAAATTCTAAAATTCTAATTTGGAATAATACATACGGGAAAGACGATGAAATATGCCAGCATTAAAAATGCATAAAAACTTTTTTGTTATATTGTATATTTTTTGTGTATTGGGCTTTTAGGCCCGGGAATGTAAGGTGGCTCGATTCAAGAGTCCGGGAGTGTATTAGTTAGAAGAACCACTGTTTATAAAGACAATAAATAAATAATCTTTTTCTTCAACCTTTGTCTATCCAGTGCTGAATAAAGATCTTTTATACATATAGGTTAGGGTCGGTCTACGCTTCTGCTTCCTATTCTAGGTCGCTTCTCCGCAATAGTTGGAGCCACATGACCTGCCCAACTTCACATTTTCCCCGCGAGTTCGCGAGCAATGTCGGATAGTATTCTTTTCCGTATCTTCTCATTGTATACGCGATTTCTACCGAGGGGTATACCGAACATGACACGCTTCATTTTCGCTGAGCGACTTGCATGATGTGGACATGTAGTTTGTCACAGTCCAGGTTTCGGCTTTATAAGTCAAAAAAGGAAGAACACATAGTGTGAGTGGTCGACGTACGAGGAAATGTGGCATCTTACTTTTGAAGATGTTGGCTAATTTGCCGAATTCTGTCCAACCCAGTCAAATACGGCGGCCGATGACTAGCTTAACCGCTTTTATCAAGAATTATGAACTGAACCAAATATAAATAGTCTTCTACCCGTTATATACGGTTTTCTGTTACTATTATGTGTTGTACACTTGGGTCTTAGCACATTATTTTGGTTTTGAGGTGTTCATGCAGAGGCCCACCGCTATGAAGATTCTAGTTCCTGAAACATACATTGAAGTTCTATTGGAGTCTCACAAATGACAAATATGACAACAGAGAATCGCAAATGAGTTAAGCGCTCTCCGCTTATTTTGATACTCCTATTAGACCAGACAAGGAGCTTAAATATATCTTCCAGGCATGCCGTTAACAGTTTCGGTGAGATTGTAATCTCCTTGTCGTACACCTCTCTTTACCGGCATGTGGTCCGAAAGATCTTGGAGCTTGGGTTGAATCGCGGCTTCTTCTCTTTACGACGTAAAAAACCCTTGATTGTTTTGACCTTCTTTTGTTTCTTCTTTTTAGTATCTTTCGGTTCACAATGGTGCTCGATTATATTTATATTAGTAATGTAATTCTTTTGCCACAAATCCTCACGAACTGCTTTTCCCCATTCGCTTATGTCCACCACTCGTCATGCTTGGAAGACTAGAAGTAAGTTATTTCTTACGTCTATCAGAAGCTGCGTTTCCTTTGGGAAGATATTTTCCTCCTTTGAAATGTTGGGCCTTATTTCTTTGATAGTGTCAGAAAGGTTTATTTTTGTTAGACTTCATCAGTTCCTTAGTAATATCGTCTACATTCATGGAATGTTCATCGGCAGAAAGTCTGGCCCTGATAAATAATACCTATTTAAAAATTAAAGTTCCACACAGAAAGTGTTTTGTTCCTTTAACAGATGTATAATAAATAGCTCAACCCAAGAGATTTTTTTTAATGTGCATATGGTTCTGGATTTTTTAAAAGAGTATAAATAATAACCTAAATTACGACCTCCGCGGCCGATTGATATGAACGCCAGGTTTCAAGGTGTCACCTACTCGAGAGGTCCCGGGTTCGAGCCCGGGGGGAGAGGGGGGGCAGATGTTTGTGTGTTGAATACGAGCATTTATACTCCAGCCATGGATGTTTAATATGTATTTCTATATAAATAAACTTATTTATTATCAGTAATGTATCCCATAACACAAGCCATATAGAGCTTACTTTGGGGCTAGGCTAATTGGTGAGAGTGTTGGAAATAATAATTATTATTAAGTAATAATAATAATTTATATATTATCCATGATATTTGAATACATTGAGAAAGTATTTATTGACCCACTAAAAGTTAATATGCAGTATAGTCCGGGTAGCGTTGCATTTCCGGTAATGATTTTACGCCGATTGCTTACCATATTTTACTATAGATCTCTAATGACTTGGTATTGAACTAAACGTCAGCTGGCGCATCCGCGATGGGTTTTGAATTGGGAGGTTGCGAAAGTGGTAAAAAAAATTAAAAGGTATAGCACTCCGGCTGAAACTTTTTTCATAAATAATTGACATCATACTGAGCTGAAAACAATCGGCAGTAGCTGCACCGTGGAGCGGGGAATATGCGTCAGCATACTCGCATGAAATTGCTCTGGATGCGTGCGGTAAAAAATGACATAGGTTGGGCCTCGAAGGGTGCTGGCGCCGTACTGATCAGTACTGATCGGCGAGTAATTGAGCACTAGTATATACCTATGCTACTATACGATTTTACGGTTGATGTTTTAGGTCCTATAAAATAATAATACAGTAAAAAGTAAAAAAAAACAAACTTCAGTTCTTTGATGATTGTAGATTAGGTTTATATAAGTTTTTTAATAGTAATTGTATTTAGACAATATCAAAACACGAGGTAAACCTGCATCATTATTAGGTAAAACTCACGGCGGCGGTTAGATGTTTTTTTCAATAATGAGATAAAAAATCTATATTATGTTATATTATGTATACATATTTCTGCTAACGTAGTAATTAATTTAAGGTAGTTTATTCCATCTAATTCATAGATTTTGTCGTTTGAAGTTGTGCATTTTATCGTTTTTTCCGAAAACAAGGTGCGGCAGAACGATCAGTACAAAAAAAATATTTGCAAATATTCTATATTAACTTACAATAATGTATGTTATACTATTTTTACGTGTATGAAAAAAAGTCAAAATCCTTTCAAAGAGGGTAAAGTAGGCGCTCAAAAATTACGATTTCTTGGCGTTACCGGCGGCTTGGATTTACCGGCGTAATATAACTTTATTTTACGTATTTTTTACAAGTTTTCCTATCTACGATGCAGCTGACGATTTTTTTTCAGTTCAGTATGATGTCAACTATTAACGAAAAAAGTTGTAGTCAGCGTACTATTACTTATTTTTTTCACCTATTTCGCAGCCTCCCACACCCGCACCCGCCACTACTTGAGCAGCTGACGGTCCGTTCTATTATTAGTCATTTAAGATCAACTATCGATGTTAATATAAGCCGGTTTACTATGACTTTTGCATTTGCAACGCTACCTCCCGGTCTAGTAGTCTTAGATCCACTGCAGCAATTTTGCTAATCAATTTAACTAATACCAGATTTAGCCTAAACAATAATGTAAAATTGACAGTCGTTTGAAATTTTTCTATGGGCTAAATCTAGTTTTAGTTGAATCGATATTTAGCAAATTTTGCAGCAAGTAGTCCCTAATCATCAAGTAATATGAACTTATCATAATATAAATTTTTAGCTTATTAAGTGTGAGGGACGCCGCTGCCTTCTCGGTCTGGTGCTAGCACAGGCGGCTAGTGAGGAGCTGGGCGCAGCAAGGGACACTGGTGTGTTGCTTCCATCTGCTCGCCGCAATCAGTTAGAGAGGTTAATGCTTAAAGGCATGCCTCAAATGCTAGCAGCTCTTAGTGGTAATTTCCAGAAGCTATCATTAAAAAATACATTTAACATATTATTAGTGTTTTGCAATTCATAGGCTATGAAATTAATTGTATTTTATGGAGATAGCAAATAAGAAAATATCGTGTAATTTAAATCATCAGGTTAGGGATTATTAATTACTCGCCGATCAGTATGGCGCCAGCGCGCTTCGAGGCAGAACCTATGTCATTTTTTACCGCACGCATCCCGAGCAATTTCATGCGAACAAGTTCATATGAGTTTCCTCATTACATGTGTCTACATAATAATAATATAATAGTATATAATATATATTATCAAATACATAATTCATTTTTGTTTGGTATTAAAATATTGAATACATTATAGCTATACTGGAAAGAAATGCCCAGAAAGAGGGTCAGTCCAATCCTCCTCCATCGCCAACCAGTGGTATACCGCAGACTTCTGCGCTTCCTGATTTGCTAGCAAATGCACATGATGTTCATAACGTTGATAAGTAAGTATTAATGTAATTAATTTTCATATGCAGATTGCACAAAACACTGAAACAGCTCATCAAATAGCATGAAACATAGATATATATATATATATATATTTCATTGCATGTAATAAAAAAACCTGTTGTACTGTTGACTATTGTAAATGACCAATTGCACAAATAGTTCCGGACCACTTGTAAATTTTCGAATTAACAATAGTCAACTCAGCAGTCTAACGGGATTTTGGAACTTTCGTGTGCGACGATGTCTACAATCTATGCTGTCGTCCGCCATTTGAAAAAAAAATTACATGTTCAGCAACTCCGACAAAAATTGTCCTGTTTTCTGAATCGCTTAGTTTCTATATTGTATGCAGTAAGTTAAGTTGTATTAATTTCATTTTGATATAAATCCGTATATCTTATTATATAAAATTCTCGTGTCACAATGTTAGTTACCATACTCCTCCAAAACGGCTTAACCGTTTCTTATGACATTTTATATGCATATTCAGTAGGTCTGAGAATCGGCTACTGTCTATTTTTCCATCCATCCCCTAACATTTTGATTTTTTGGACTTATTTTTATATTTTATTTTTATAATTTGGCATTAAAGAATTCATAAAACCATAAATTTTCACCGTTCTACCACCAGCCCCTATTTTTATGGCGATACGAAGTTTGCTGGGTTAGCTAGTTTTAATATAAATCCGTTGTGTTTTAGGTATAGGTACAAATTCGCTGTTAATCAGCTGACTCGTTGTTTTGTATATTTCGCTATATTTTAATATAAAAATAATTGGCTATTGAATGACAAAAATGCACTATTTTTATTTGTGATGAAACGAGAATTTTATCTTTACAGGTCTTTAAATATGGAGATAGTTGTGAAATGTTTGACAACACTCCAGCATTTATTTTCTTGGCTTCCTTTATCTTCACATGTACCACCATCACTTGTGACTACAGTATTTTATTGGGGAAGCATAGCTACGCAATCACAGGTATGATAATTTTGAGTTGTAACTATTTAGTTGCTTTATTTATAACTAGTTGGCTAACAACTCTTTGTCGAAAATGTTGGTAAATTGACATTTTGTTGAAGAGAAGATTAATATGTAAAATTGAATTTCGATACACTTGCTTTAGTTTTGATATTTTTTATTTGCATATATTGAAATAACAAGTGTTGCTAAGGAAAGAAATCAGAATATGCTTACGTGTACTGAAAACAAGTATTTAATCTGACTTTTAGTTGTTTGGTGAACATATGTGGAACTTACTATGCACCAATTGCATTAATGTCCGAACCTGAGACAGACGGTCACAGGCCGTATATGAACTCTTAACGCCAGGCAAAACCAGTACGAACCTCTAGTGTTACTCGTCAAATGTTAAAATTTTTTGCATGGAAGTTTGAAAGAGAAGCGCCACAACGTACGTAACGAAAATTTAAAATTCATCCAAACAAAACTTCTTAAATTTTTACTCGTATCGAAATTGAATTCAACTATTCGAACTCGATATTGGTTCGTGCTAAGAAGACAGAATTTGCCTGGCGTAAAGAGTTTAAAATATTTTGTTTGGACTCAGCCAATAAAGTTGAATAGTAACGGCGGGTGTACATGTCGTTAGAGTATGGAGGCGGCGTTGAGCGGACTGGGCGGTGTGTGCGAATTATTGTATAGGCGGTACGCGCCGCCGTCGTCCGCCGCCACCGCGCTGCGCTTGCACCACTGCGCGCTACGGCTACTGCGACACCTCACGCACTTGCCGCACTACATGATGCGCGCGCACCACGAGTATGTATGGTTTGTCAAATGCAACCTACTTTTTGATTAGGTAATACTTTGTTTGGAAATCTTTTCGTTAATCTATTGTCTATGGAGGTGTACACTCAAACGTCATAGCATTAGTTATATGCTTTAGTTATTGTTCTGAGATACACCCTAGGATATATCTTGAACCATGGACAATAGCAGTTATATATTTACATACATAAACCGTTGCGCAAGTTTTTGATGTCTAATAACATCTTTCCTCTCGCTTTCCTGCAATTTGTGGGAGTGATTTCGTGAAATGGGACGGAAGTGTGTAACAGGAAGTCTCGAAAGCGCGCGTTATTTGATTTGATTTAAGAACATAATGTTCAATTGGCTTATTCCTTTTGTAGTAGGTTTTATTTCCTTTTTTACTAATATAAGGTGAGGTTTCAAATGTTACACATCATACGCGACTACTGTAAGGCTTGCTCGTTTTTTTTTCTATAATATCCTCCAATAAATTCTCCTTATGACATTCACCTCAAATCTATGTTGTTGTGTTAACTAATATCGTCCACATTCAAATAAAATATACAAATACAAAAAATATTATTCTAATTTCATAGTCATGTGTGGTGTATTAATGTGTCTTTTATAGTGGAACTTTTGTGTGTGTATTTATATTTTAATTCAGATATAGGTACATAGTAAGAGAATGTGTTTATGATATGTGATAAATAAAATGAACTTTTTACTTTTCAGTTATCTAAACAAACTAGCAGAGTTCCTGAAACTATTTGTATCGTTGCATTTTAAACGACTTGAAGCAGAACCCGAGTTCAATGCTATAGAATTCTTATCGTATTTATTCCAATATACATTCCAGGTATATCAATATGATTTTCTTATTTGATTTTATTTAGTACCAAAGCATGCTTTTATGAATACAATATATTATTATCTAATATCGTAATTGCTATTTCAAGTAATAGTTATTACCCAAGTTTTTCTTTCAGGTGCCCACATGTGCTATTTTTATAAATTGTCTAGACATATGGATACAGTTTATTGATATTCTAAAGCCAGAAGATACTGCCAAGTAAGTTTCTATTAAAATGTAATATTTGTTTTTAAGCTTCTACATGGCGTTTCATTGTTTTAAAAATAATGATTAAGACCAACGAGTCAAACGAGTGTACATTTTTGAGTTGTGAGTCGGTTAATTTCTCGCGCGCAATCTTGTTGTAAAGTAACGCTTTCGTCGCTTCGCTTCCCTTAACCTCGCAAACATGATACGGTATTTTCCAAATTTTAGAAAACTGCTTATATTTAAAGATTGGGAAGAAAATCTTTCTTCACACAGTAGACTTCATTGAACCGAGCGTTTTGGAGGAAAATTCAAAATCTTTAAAAATAAATTGAACTTTAATTGGTTTACACCAAATAAAGTTCAATTTATTATATAGTTAAGAACCGAGCGTTTTGGAGGAAAATTCAAAATCTTTAAAAATAAATTGAACATTAATTGGTGTAAGGAACAAAAAAGACATTAATAAATTTATTTTTATTTTTCTGTTATATCGTTTTTCCCAATCTTTAAATATATTTTCAAAACATTTGGAAAATACCCTATTCGGTCTGACGACGACGCGGTTCGACAGTCAGTAGACAACTTATTTTGCGTCGCGGTGTGAATCAAACGGGACTTTTCTATGAAACCGAATGCAGCATAAATTACGGGATCTACAACTCAGTAAAATTTCGGTGGTTAGGTTTCACCCTTAAACACAGCGCAGGCAACGAAAGAATGCGATTCTAACAGGTTGTGTCAGTTCTTTATGGTGTCAGAAAAAGAGTTTATTCTAGAGTAAAAAAAAGGTTTTACTAGGCCTAAAGTAAAAAGTAGAAAGTTTGTTCTGTTAACTTAAGGAACTGACGAGCTGTCGGGATAGTATTCGTTCGTTTGCCGCTCCATAATGAAACTTACTTCTGACGTAGAATAATCAAGATTACTATTTAATCTACAGTATCCTTTCTGCTGTAACTTAAAAATTTGCTCATAATTTTTCCGCTGTTTGAATAGACTCATCATTTGCGGTGACTACAATATAAACAAAGTAATATTTGTATGCTATAAAGAATATAAAAGATTATTTTCGTCGTAAATAACTTTTACCATCGAGAAATAATAATATTGATAAGTAATTATATTTTTAGATATTGGGAGGCTTTGCAAGCACTTGTCGATCGAGTGTTGAATAAAATTCAATTTCAACATAACAAGGCACAACTTCAACATCTCGACAATGACGTATGCGATGATGACGTAAGTTATTTTAAATTTGTGACAGAAAATATGGGTTTAAATACTTTAATTCAAATGTGAATTTGACCTTCCAGGGTGAGACTGAATGGCAAACATTCCTGAAACATTGTATTGAATGTATAGCACGAGTCGCAGATTTAGCGCCGTTGGATATTTTTACCAATGTGGTAATATATTATTTTTTATTTTTTACTAAGTAATTATTTTTTAAATACATTATTCAGTAACAATCAATCTAACCTCAAATAAATACCCACTTAGAAAATTTTAACTTTAGAGACAATGCACAATAATATTTGCACCTTAAAAATAATACACAGACTTATTTATTTGTGTTTCTTTTTATATAATAATTGTGATATTCTTATTGGTGTGTCAAATAAAATATTCATTCTATTATTAGTTTTTGGTGATACAACTGAAAAGTTTGTCATTGTTATTAAGCGCAGGTGACTTGGATGGGTTCTTTCACAATATTCACTATTATATAAATGAATTTCTGAATATTGGAAAAATTGTTAAAAGTTTTGTGGCAGTTGGAAAGGTGGCAGTGCCTAGTAGGAGTGCACGCGCGAGCGGCGGGACGAGTGACAGGCGGCGCGCCAGACGCGGAGCGACTGCTCGCCGCGCTGCTGGATCTCGCCACGCTCACGCGCGTGCTGGGTCGCCTCGCGCCCGCACTCGTGCCAGGTATGCAGCCGATGTTGCACGTGATGCATATGATGGAGCACTTTAACATAATTTACTTGACGTACTCGAATTAATTTGCTCACTAAATTAGTATGAAGCTAGTATCTTTTATCAATCTGCGCTTTAACACATTAAATACCTGATTTGCGATCATTAAAATTATAATGTTTACTTTATTTGGTCTATAGACACGGAGAGTCCTCACCGCGCGGCGGGCACGGCGCTGATGGAGCGCACGTGCGCCGCGCTGGCGGGCGCTGCCCTCACGCGCCCGCACCGCTCGCCGCACTCGCCCGCTCACACACACGCGCACGTGCAGGTGTAAGTATCACTATCCGGTCTGTAGACGCAGAGAGTCATCACCGCGCGGCGGGCACGGCGCTGATGGAGCGCACGTGTGCCGCGCTGGCGGGCGCTGCCCTCACGCGCCCGCACCGCTCGCCGCACCCGCCCGCTCACACACACGTGGACGTGCAGGTGCAAGTATCACTATCCGGTCTGTAGACGCGGAGAGTCCTCACCGCGCGGCGGGCACGGCGCTGATGGAGCGCACGTGTGCCGCGCTGGCGGGCGCTGCCCTCACGCGCCCGCACCGCTCGCCGCACCCGCCCGCTCACACACACGTGGACGTGCAGGTGCAAGTATCACTATCCGGTCTGTAGACGCGGAGAGTCCTCACCGCACGGCGCTGATGGAGCGCACCTGCAGGTGTATCACTGTATCCGGTCTGTAGACACGGAGAGTCCTCACCGCGCGGCGGGCACGGCGCTGATGGAGCGCACGTGCAGGTATCACTGTATCCGGTCTGTAGACACGGAGAGTCCTCACCGCGCGGCGGGCACGGCGCTGATGGAGCGCACGTGCAGGTATCACTGTATCCGGTCTGTAGACACGGAGAGTCCTCACCGCGCGGCGGGCACGGCGTTTATGGAGCGCACGTGCAGGTATCACTGTATCCGGTCTGTAGACACGGAGAGTCCTCACCGCGCGGCGGGCATGGCGTTTATGGAGCGCACGTGCAGGTATCACTGTATCCGGTCTGTAGACACGGAGAGTCCTCACCGCGCGGCGGGCACGGCGCTGATGGAGCGCACGTGCAGGTATCACTGTATCCGGTCTGTAGACACGGAGAGTCCTCACCGCGCGGCGGGCACGGCGTTTATGGAGCGCACGTGCAGGTATCACTGTATCCGGTCTGTAGACACGGAGAGTGCTCACCGCGCGGCGGGCACGGCGCTGATGGAGCGCACGTGCAGGTATCACTGTATCCGGTCTGTAGACACGGAGAGTCCTCACCGTGCGGCGGGCACGGCGCTGATGGAGCGCACGTGCAGGTATCACTGTATCCGGTCTGTAGACACGGAGAGTCCTCACCGCGCGGCGGGCACGACGCTGATGGAGCGCACGTGCAGGTATCACTGTATCCGGTCTGTAGACACGAAGAGTCCTCACCGCGCGGCGGGCACGGCGTTTATGGAGCGCACGTGCAGGTATCACTGTATTCGGTCTGTAGACACGGAGAGTCCTCACCGCGCGGCGGGCACGGCGCTGATGGAGCGCACGTGCAGGTATCACTGTATCCGGTCTGTAGACACGGAGAGTCCTCACCGTGCGGCGGGCACGGCGCTGATGGAGCGCACGTGCAGGTATCACTGTATCCGGTCTGTAGACACGGAGAGTCCTCACCGCGCGGCGGGCACGGCGCTGATGGAGCGCACGTGCAGGTATCACTGTATCCGGTGTAGGGTGTTCCCTACACTTAATATGATATTGATATTAAATAATGATAATTAAATGATATTAAATTGATACGATATTGATTTATGATAAGGGTTAAATGATACACGCGATGCTGATGAATGCGTCATTCGCACTGATTTTATTTCTATATTTAAGTATACAAATCATTATAAGTTATTGCTATGTTTGCATTAAAAGTATGCTAACTTAGTACGATGACTCGTACATCTTGCCAATTCAAACAAAAAAGAAAACAAGGTAACAACATTAATACTATAATAAATTTTATGCCTACAATAAATTGTATAAAATGTAAAAGGTTTTAAAATAATTAAGTTACAATAAATATGATAAAGTGTATATAAATTTAAATAGCTTCAAATTAAAATGTAAAAATTATTAAACTATTCCTGAAATTTAAGTTCTTCAAATGTTATCGTTTTCCCCGTAGCTTCTGTGTGTTCACGTGTATCGTGACGCGGGGACCCGCGCGATGGTTTGGCATACAGAGGAAACTTTGTTGGTGTAGGCATGTTGCCGGCTGAGGGCGTTGTGTGTGACCGTGCTGGTTTCGGTGGCGCAGCGTGGCTAAGTCTGTCCTTAGACTGCCCTTGCCGCCTGAAATAAAAAAAGAAACAAACAAGACATATAATTAACACTATACAAATAAATAAAACTACGTATATCATGACGTAGTGATGTGTATTATGACTGGATACGTCATTTATAGTCGCTTCTTTTAAGCTTTGTATTTGCTTCTTGATCTTTCTTTCATCTTCGCTGTCCATTTCTAGAAGTTTAGCAGGTATTGATTTGTTAATGAAGTCATTTAGTCCAGATATTGCAGAAATCTCTAAATTAGTTATAGGTGGTTGCATTTCTAATTTATTTCGATAGTCATGATGTCCGATCAGTGTGAAGGTGTCTCCTTTCACGGCACAATCTTGACCGATGGTAATAATGCCGTTTCCGCGTAATTGTCGTGACGTCAGGCTCGCCGGGCACATGACGCGCACGGGACACTCCTCGCAACATGAGTAGAGCCACGCGTCGCTGGAATGTAACTTGATCCATACATCGGTGCATTCAATTGTTTTTATTTTACAGAAAGTTTGATTACTGCCGTTTGTTATTATTTTTATGTCACAAATTGATTGGTCTACTTTCAATTCGTATATCGGAGCAGTGAGACCGCACAAAAACCTGTCTTGGTGGTATTTGGTGCATGATAATAAGTCAGTCTGTGACATAGGGATAAAGGTATCCTTTCTCATATTAAATGCAATGTATTCAGTGATAGGTACAGCGTATATTGTTTTGTGACTCATTGATTGAGGCAGGCTTATCACATGATTTATTTCGTAATTTTCGCTGGTAGTTAATGGTAATTTTATTTCCATAATGTGGTAGTTGCCTTTAATTTTAGCCTTCACTTGGAGAATCTCATATAGGTGTTGAATATTTTCAGGTTTTACGGGTACAGTTAATTCTCTACTTAACTGTCCGGATATAATATTCAACTGTTCTTTTAGTTGATCGGGTGATAATATATGAATGTCGATATGTCCTTGATATATGTCAGTGACCGTATTTATGAGGCTCTCTTCAACTCGGTGAGACCCGCTTGTGGGAGGCCTTTCGATCTCTGGATAGCCCTTTTCTGATTTGTTTCTTGATTATTCCCTTTTGATAAGTCATAATTCTCTACCTGTTTTTCTTGAACCGGTAAAAATATAAGTTTATTTATCGGCCTCTTAATAATTTTGTTCTGAGATTGTAAAGTGACAACCCTGACGTGACCGTCCTTCCCGGGGTGCAACTCACAAACACGCGCTAATGCCCACTTGCCTGGAGGCATGTTTTCCTCTTTGATAATGACTACGTCGTCAGTTTTCATATTTTCTGTACGTATTCTCCACTTTGATCGGTGTTGCATTTGTTGCAAATATTCACTTGACCACTTCTTCCAGATTTGCTTATTCAAATTTTGCACCAGTTGCCAACGGGTTGATAAATGGGTGATATCTGGGTCGGTCTGTGGACTGGATATTAATGGACCACCGACTAAGAAATGACCAGGAGTGAGGCATAGATCATCAAGATCCTCAGAGAGCGAACAAAGCGGACGGGAGTTCATGCATGCCTCGATTTGTTGTAGTAGGGTTGTCAGTTCCTCGAAGGTTAGTTTTTGTTCCCCTACTACTACTCTTTTCAAATGGTATTTCACGCTTTTCACAGCGCTCTCCCACAAACCACCAGCTGAAGGCCAGGCAGGCGCGTTGAAGTGCCAGGTGACACCTATGTCGTTTTTGTTCAAAAAATCTTGATTAATAGAATTTATGATATCTTTGTGCTCTTTTTTCAGGATACGGGATGCGCCTACAAAGTTTGTACCATTATCACTGTATACATGTTTCGGCGTGCCTCGTCGGGAACATAATCGCTTGAAAGCAGCAAGGAATGCATCTGTGCTTAAATCTGACACCACTTCCAGGTGTACGGCCTTAGTGACAAGACACACAAAAACAGCAACATATCCCTTGATAGTGCGAACGCCTCTTGTTCAATTTCATATCCAAGTGTCCTGTGAAGTCCACTCCTGTATTGGTGAAGGGGCGTGACGGGGTCACTCGGGGCTGTGGTAAGTCTGCCATGATTTGTTGTCCTGTGGTTTGCTTGAAGCGTCTGTACACGACACAGTTACGAAGTTGTTTCTTCACCGCTCGTATGCCACCAACGATCCAGTAGTTTTTCGCGGATGAATGATAAGGTGAGCTTCGGACCGCCGTGTAGAGTTGTAAGATGTGCTTGATGTATGATAAGTTCCGTAAGTCGGCTTGAATTATGTAAAATGATAGGATGCTTGGCCGAGTAACGGAGATGAGAGTTTTCCAGTCGTCCACCAACCCTAAATATCCTATTTTCATCCACATAAGGGTTCAAACTTGCTAATCGACTGCTTGATCTTACATAGCCTTTGCTTTTTAAATGTGCTAAATCTTCTGCAAACTCCGTGTTTTGTACTTTTCTGATGATTAGATAGTAAGCATTGCATATTTCAGATAATGATAAATTGTTTTTATTAAAACTGTCTTTCTTGCGTAATCGTGCAATAAATCGTAACACATATGCTATTGTCTTAGCAAGCAAAGTTATTGAACTCATTTTATACAATAACGAATTAATAAGACATTCTGATTCATGTAAGGCTATGTGCACATTATGATTTTTCTTCACTTCAATTTTCGGATCTTCATACTTCGAATTATTTGGAGGTTGATAATTTAAGATGCATCTAGGTCCTTCCCACCATAAAGAATGTTGTGATAAATGTTTAATAGTAATCCCTCTTGTAGCACAATCTGCGGCATTTTCTTCCGATTTTATGTGATGCCAACAGGAAACTGGGAGTATGATATCTCGGATTCTGTTTGCGACGAATGCCTTCCATTTTAATACTTCTCCATATATCCATCCTAACACAATCATAGAATCCGTCCAGGCATGAAGTTCGATTTTGATATCGGTTGATGATAATGTTCCTAAGACTTTTTCCATAAGTTTTGATAACAACAATGCAC